TACTTGATAACTAATCGTTGCCTTCCAGTAACACAAGTGTTTTAATGGCTGATTCATTCAAAGGAAAGTTTCAGAATATTCAGATTTTATTTTCCATTATACATATATAAGTTATTTGGAATAACTTATTGTGAGAGAAATGGATTATTAAGAAAATAGTTTTTTTTTAGAATTTCGAATTAACTATTTACTATATTTAAGTCAAATTCCCACAATCATGGTACGAAATAAGTTAATATTTTTAGTCTTACAATTTGATAATAATCATAGCAAGTTGCGTTGATACATAATAATTGCTTAAGAGTAACAAACTCATTTCTCGAGTTTTTATTTTTATATAACTGAAGAGAAGTATTCACATACTCTGGTTTTCAAAGTAATTTTTTTGTTAATAGATATTTTTTACAAATAATTTTCAACTAAAATTCTGAATAAATTATAAACTTTTAAAAACTATTTCAGAATTTTAGTTGAAATTTATTCGTAAAAAATATCTATTTAGAAAAAAATTACTTGAAACAAAAAAATTTTCTTGCTTCAAGAAAATTATTTCTTTAAGGGGTACCTGAAACATATTTATTAGTTTTAAGAAACAATATTTGCTTTAATAAAGTATTTATATTTTCAAGAATTAAAAAAATATTTGCTAGTATCAACGAGAATATTTCCTCTACTCAACCAAATAATCCCTTCGTAGCCAAAACTCATTTTGCGCATCTGAACATATATTTCGTTGACCTTAGTAAATATCTGCGCTGATATCAGTAAATGTTTCCTCGTTTGAAACAGATATTTCCTCTACTCAATAAAATATTTCCTTCGTAGCCAAAACCCATTTTGCGCATCTGAACATATATTTCGTTGACCTTAGTAAATATTTGCGCTGATATCAGTAAATATTTCCTCGTTTGAAACAGATATTTCCTCTACTCAACAAAATATTCCCTTCGTAGCCAAAATCCATTTTGCGCATTTGAACATATATTTCGTTGACTTTAGTAAATATCTGCGCTGATATCAGTAAATGTTTCCTCGTTTGAAACAGATATTTCCTCTACTCAACAAAATATTCCCTTCGTAGCCAAAATCCTATTTTGCGCATCTGAACATATATTTCGTTGACCTTAGTAAATATCTGCGCTGATATCAGTAAATGTTTCCTCGTTTGAAACAGATATTTCCTCTACTCAACAAAATATTCACTTCGTAGCCAAAACCCATTTTGCGCATCTGAACAAATATTTCGTTGACCTTAGTAAATATCTGCGCTGAAATCAGAAAATGTTTTCTCGTTCCAAACAGATATTTCCTCTGCTCAACAAAATATTCCCTTTGTAGCCAAAACCCATTTTGCGCTTCTGAACATATATGTCGTTGACCTTAGTAAATATCTGCGTTGATATCAGCAATTGTTTCTTTAATTCTTGAAAATATGTACTTCATTAAAGCAAATATTGTTTCTTAAAACTAATAAATATGTTTCAGGTACCCCTCAAAGAAATAATTTTCTTGAAGCAAGTAAAATTTTTTTGTTTCAAGTAATTTTTTTTCTCAGTGTATAGTTTATTCATGAGGGTTGCAATGGGCTTTCGTCCTGATCCTAGGAAGCATTAATCAGGGATTCTCGGAAAGTCAGCTACCATCTTGGGCTTAGTGCGCATATGTGCTGGCAACTATCTTGTTCCCAGTGCGTGATTGCGTTGAGATGCGAAAACGACGGATAAAGCTGTGAAAATATTGCCCTCTGACGAGAGGGACGTTTACAGGCGCACGCGCAGTAGGATTAAGAACACTAATGTTGCGTCAAAATATAGTTAGCCTGCGGCAAATTCATTTAATAAAAGCGATAAATCGGTGGGCAGTATTACAAATGTATCGGCTACGCATGCCTCAATAGGATGTTGCACGCTTGAAGCGAATTCACTTAACAAAAGTGAAAAATCGGAGGGGAGCGTAATGAATGCGTCATGAGTTCGCGAGTTACGGGAATCACTTGACAGGCATAATGATAGAATATTGATATGTTGTTTTCCGGTAAAGACATAGTGCAAAAAAAGTGCAGATTATATCTGCTTTTAGAGTATGCAAAGAAGCCTTCTTAGAATTATCCACTGCATATTTAGACTTACTGCAGAGTAGCACTTATGTATCTTCTATAGCAGGTGGAGTAAGGGATATTGTGAGCGATTTCTTTGAATTTCTTTTTCGGCTGAATTTTGTAATATCAGAGAATATAAAGAAAACTGTAAGTGATGTAGTGTGTGAATCGATTCGTGAATCGGTAATATCTGAGGAGATGAAGAGGTCAGTAAGCAATGTTGTATGCAATTCCTTAAGGGAGTTCCGCGATTCGATGGTTGAGCGTACTCTGGATGTAGATGGAGGCGCGTCTGTTGGATGCGCTAATGCTGAGCCGACGTATGCTTCGGCGATGGTATCGGATTCTAGAGTGCGAGTGGCGCGTGGACTGACATTAGATGTACCAAAGATCACTAACCTGCTGGTGATGCCTAAGGAGAATGATAGTACTATATTCGCTACCTCGAGTAGTAAAGAGGCATTGCAGAGTATCATTAAGTCCTCTGATTATAACCTGAAGGTCAAAAGGATTACCTCGGTGCGCTAAAATGGCATTAGAATTGAGGCGCAATCTGTGGTACGGATAAGATAACAGAATCTCGTGCTGGATTCGGCGGGCCTTACATTAATACATGAAAACAAGATTAATCCAAGACTACTGATACGTGATATACCCTGCAAGATGAGCGTGCAAGAACTGAAAGCGGACATTATTGCGATGAATTTGAGGGATTTTGACACTTCAAATGTCAAGGTCGTACATGTATTCCCCCCAAGGGAAAACCGCAAAGATAACAAGTTGCGTTTTGGAGGTACCTCCGAATATACGTAATGCCTTGCTTAAAGAAGAGTATGTATACGTGGACTATTATGCATGTAGGGTATCAGACTATGTGAAAGTGCTACAATATTATAAATGCCTGGCGTTTGGTCACTTATCAAAAGTTGTAAATCGGAGACGCTCTGTAGTTATTGTTCTCGGAATCATGAAACGAAGAACTGCGCTTATAGGAGTGAGTCTCCGGTTTGCAGAAATTGTAAAAAATGGTTGCCTAACGAAAATCGGTGTCACTCGGCGTTCGACAATAAGAATATTTAATTTTGCGTAGGAGACTCTTGGTCAAAGTCAACACTATTAATTATGGAGAATAGGCAAATGAAAAACATACGTATCCGCCATATGAATTGAATTGTCAGTCATTAATTACGCATTTGGACGAGTTTCGATATTTTTTTGTCGAATGGCATTCACTTGGACACAGTTTAAATGGACACGTCTTAAATAGACACAGCCTGTTAGACACTGTGCAGTAAGCCTTTTCGCAGTGTCCAAGTGAACAGTGGGCATTTACGCGGTGTCCAAGTGAACGGTGGGCATATGCATCGTGTCTAACAGGCTGTGTCTATTTGAGACGTGTCCATTTGCAACGTGTCCATTTAAACTGTGTCCATTTAAACTGTGTCCAAGTGCACCGCTCCCTTTTTTGTCCACTCAGGATATCATATCATCTGTATGTCTGAGACTTGGTTAAGACCATCCATATCGAATCGGCTTGTCTCTTTAGACGGATACTATCTGCTCCGCTGTGACAGGGCCGACAGAGTATGGGGAGGGGTTGCAGTCTTCATTTCGTCTCTACACGCTAAAATCCTGCATCAATCAGCTGGAGACCGCAACATTAGACCTGAACATTTAATACTTAAAATCAATGCGTGTAATTGCAAAATTTTTCTTGCAGTAGTATACAGACCACCATATAGTGGCAGTCTACTCGACTTTTTCAGCGTGTTCGCGGATATTTCGGCACTGTATTCGCATATTGTCGTCTTTGGAGACTAACACTGATTTGAATGTCCAAACATTTGACTCTGCGCAGGTGCTATCTTTCGTGGTATCGTTAGGTTTTTATTTAGTGCCTTATGTGTCAACGCATCATTTGCGTACTTTGTCGACAATGTTGGATTTGGGCATTATGGATGACAAAGAAAAGCTTGTTGGATTTGAGCAACATGATGTCGGCGTATGACTTGATTGACATTACTTACAAGATTAAAGTGGAACGTCCTTGTAGGCGCAACATAACTGTTAGAGATTTTAGATTTCTTTCAAGGCAAACAATTTTATTGAAGAGCTTGATTCATGTGATTAGAAGCCATTGTATGACTCAACGAATATAGATTGTAAGGTTGAATTGTAGAACAAGT